AAAAAAAAAAAAAGAAGTTAGTTAGTAGTTTCTGATTGATACAGCTTCTAGTGTCATTTTACTGTGTATAATGAGCTTTGGTTTACATAGGGTTTTTTCTTTTTTGGCTGGGGCTGGGTTCAAACCCACCACCTCAGGCATATGGGGCCAGTGCCCTACTCCTCTAAGCCACAGGTGCTGCCCTTTTTTTTTTTTGCAGTTTTTGGCCAGGGCTGGGTTTGAACTTACCACCTCAGGCATATGGGGCTGTTGCCCCACCCCTTTGAGCCACAGGTGCCGCCCTTTTTTTTTTTGAGACAGAGTCTTGCTTTGTCACCTAGGTAGAGTGCTGTGGTATCAACCTAGCTAACTGCAACCACAAACTCTTGAGTATAAATGATTCTCCTACCTCAATCTCCTGAGTAGTTGGGCCTACAGGTACCCACTACTACACCTGTCTAATTTTTCTACTTTTAGTAGAGACAGAGTCTGGCTCTTGCTCAGGCTGATCTTAAACTCCTGAGCTCTAGCAATCCTTCTGACTTGGTCTCCCAGAGTGCTATGATTACAGGTATGAACCACTGCACCTGGCCTACACAGGGATTTAAAGTGCCAGAGCCACCCCAGTCTAATAGCCTCCCAATTAGAATTTTGAAATAATCCTTCATGCTACATCTGCTGTCTTACCAGTTCATTAGACACCTCTCTACATGGTGACAGACCACCTATGAACAGGCTTTACTGACTCTCCCCTCCATCACCTTTTAAAATACCACTGCTCTATCACCTTCCCTGATGGGTGAGAGCCCCACTCCATTCCATGTGATTCCCTTGCTGCTGTAGAAATGGTCCCAAAGTTATGTGAGCACCTCTTAGATACTCCTCAAACAACTCTGACATTTCCTGACAGCTCCTATAAGCGAAATTTCCAGGGAAATATAATAACTAGTTATGCCACATTTTCCCAATATGAAACACTGGAGGCACAATCTCTGTGCCCTATAGTCAGTCCCAGCTACTGAACTCATAGCTCTTACTACAGCTTGTACACTGGCAAGTGGAAAAATTGCAATTACTTACACTAACCAGATAAGCTTTTGGAGTCTGCCATGCTGTTGGCATAATCGGAAAAGCTCATGGATTCTTAACTTCTGCTGCTACTCCTATTGCCAATGGGCATTTAATTGCTGCCCTATTACAGGCTGCTGTGGTCTGAATGTGTCCCCCAAAATTCATGCTTTGGAAACTTAATCCCCAATGCAACAATATTGGGGAGCATGGCCTAGTGGGAGATGTTTAGGTCGTGAGGACTGCACCTCATGAATGGATTAATGCCACTATACAAAGGGCTTGCAGAGTGGGTTCACTTGCTTTTGCTTTTTTGTCAGGTGGGAACAGCAGGTTGCTCTCTGGAGGACACAGCAACAAGATGCTATCTTGAAACAAATGACTGAACCTGCTGGCATCTTGATCTTGAACTTTTCAGCTTCTAGAACTTTAAGAAATAAATTTCTGGTCTAAACTGGTGTAAATTACTCAATCTCAGGTATTCTGTTATTGTCACAAAATGGACTAAGACACAGGCTATTCACCTCTTTGGAAAAATTATTGTTCCTTGTTCAGCGTATACTAAAACGACTGACATTACAGCCCTAGGGAGTAATAGTGCTGATATGGCTGCTTGCGGCCAAAAGGACTCTTGTTTTTCTCCCTAATTTATAAACTTGTCTTTATCTTTGACTGATAGCATTGATTGCGCCATAATCTGAAAAAAGACAAATGGATACAAAAGGATGCCAATTATTAGACAGCTTATACTATATTGGCCAAATTAAACTTCCTGTGGCCCTTTTCCTTTGGCCTTTTGGTTTATCCTTATCTGTCATCAGATGGGACATGTGTGCAGATATGGTTAAGGATGGTTAAGGAACTGAAACATAATTGGTTCTTCCCTGACATCCACAAAATTTATCTCCCAGCATACTACTTAAAATCCCACCATTCTGAGTTCTTTCAGTGTTGAGATCCCTTTTGCCAGGAGCTGGAACTTTAGTAAAAGAAGAGTTCAAGATTACTATGCGAACACTGGAAGCCCTCCAATTCTAAGTTAATAATTTAGTCTTTGTTATACTCCAAAATCATCATGCCCTGGACACAGACAGCCCAGCATGGAGGTGCTCCCAAGACCATCCATGAAGAACATAGTGTAAATTTGCACCTTTTAAAGCACAAGGTGAACACTCTCCATCAGATAAAATAAATGAGGCTCAGACTTTTTATTTGATCTATTTCCAGGGATAGGAGATTGGTCTATCAAAATATAGGGAAGTGAATTTAATTCTGTTCTTTTATTTATTCACTCTCATTCTAATCTATTTTCTTCTCTCCTTTTGCAGAGCTCTTGCTGCTCAGTTACTAAAACAATTCTTCTTTCCACAGCCACTAATTCAGTTTTTAGTATGTGAAATTTCTAGGGAAGTTTCAGATGGAGGGACTTGCCACCTGCCCCAAGGTGTGCCACTATTTTTTTTTTTTTTTTTTTTTTGGTATGCCACTCTTGACATACTATCTTGAGTGAAAGACACTTGAAAAACTGCAAGGTTACTCTCACCTTCCTTTTTTTTTTTTTGAGACAGAGCCTCAAGCTGTCCCCTTGGGTAGAGTGCTGTGGCATCACAGCTCACAGCAACCTCCAACTCCTGGGCTCAGCCTCCCAAGTAGCTGGGACCACAGGCGCCCACCACAACGCCAGGCTATTTTTTGGTTGCAGCCATCATTGTTGTTTGGCAGGGTCCGGGCTGGGGATTCAAACCCGCCACCTTAGGTGTATGTGGCTGGCGCCTTAGCCACTTGAGCCACAGGTGCTGAGCCTCTCACCTTCCTTCTTAAGAGCAAGAGATGAGAATTCCCATGTGAAAGATTCCCTCCATGTACCAAAAGAAAAGTATCATTCTTATCAAGGATGAGAAATACAAACAAACCTACTAAACTAACCTAGTCCCTTCTCTACCCAATTCCCTACCCTACCCCAAGGCTCTTGGCCTTGTAACATTTTCACATTTTACCACTTTGTCCAATTCAGTACATTAGGGTTCAGCTGTGTCTTGATTTCCTTATGCAGGTTCTCATGCCATGCACAATTTGTATTAAATACATTTGAATGCTTTGCTCCTGCTAATCTCTCTTAAGTTAATTCTAAGCCCCAGCAATAAAAAAAAAAAAACCTAAAAGGACAGAGGTAAAATTTTGCTTCCCCTGCAAAACCTTATTAGTTTTGCTTTTTGGGAGAACCCTAATAAACTAGTGTCACTTGTGTGTCTAGTATGGAAGTTAACAGGAAGCTAGGATAGTCCCCACCTGAATAGAAGGGTGACCCTCTTGTTGACCCAGTGCAGAATGCTCAGAGCTATTCAGCTAATATGCCAAAGTCCCAGGACAGGGAACTCCTCTCAGACCCACCTGAGCCCAGAATCCCTCTCCTTCCACTCTCTGGAGCGAGTCATTGTGGCACAAGTTGCTGGGACTAGCATGTGTTTATATGTGAGACTTTTCTCCCTCTCTACACTGTGGGGTCCCTCAGGACAGTGACCAAAGTTATTTCTCTTCCTGTTTCTGACGTTTGGTAAATACAGATGGGGTTGAGGGTTCCAGGAAGACTCTTTGATTGTGTTTTAGGACCTAAGTTTCCTAGCCCTGTGCCCTGCCTCACTTCCAAGCCTGACAGGTGAGAGTCCCAGAACCCCTTCCCAGGAAACACAGTGCTCCTAGCATAGCTGCTCCCTTAGATGTTTTATTAGTCTTGTGGAAAGGGAGGCAACAAGCCCTTATTGTTTCCCGTTGCCGTTGATGGGGCGGTTCACGTGCTCAGGGGAGGCCAGGAAGGCCTTGAGCTTGGGCCGGGCAATAAGGCGTGCCACATAGGCTGAGAGCAGGGGAAATGCATCCAGGCAGCTGGGGGCCAGGACCTGGTGGATCAGCAACAGGTCCAGCAGGTTGTAGTCAGCGAAGGAGATCTGCAGGGGAGATGGCTGGGACTCAGCTCCCATGGGAGCTGGCTGGGGGCTGTCATGCCAACCCTTAGGTCTGCCCCTCTTTGCTGAATGAATAGCTCACATTGGGTGAGGGCAGGGCAGGACAGGGCCAGATGCTCACCTGGTTGCCTATAATGAAGGCCTGGCCTCCCTGGTTCTGGGACAGCAGGGTCTCAAAAGGCTTCAGCTGTCCAGGCAGTGCCTTCACATACTCATCCTTGCCTGCCTCCTGCCAGAGAGACACACGGTGCATCATCCTTCTACCCGCAGCCCCCAGCCCCTGCTCTACCCATGAGGAACCCCTGTTCTGTCCAGCCAATGATGAATGGCACTACTCACTGAGCCAGAAACCACAGCCTCAGATGCCCCTCTGTTCACCCCACACATCAAGCTAAGCCCAAATCCTGTCCGTTCAGCTGCCAGTTCTTGTCTACTCTATTCTGACTTTCTGTCTCTGCCAGGATCTCCTCCCAGGTTATTGCCAAAGTCTCAGAGCTGGCTCCTCCAGAGTGTCTCTGTCCTCCTATTTGGACAGAGCCCTGCTTAGACTCCATGTCCCACTGCCCTCAGGAGAGTCCCAACCAGTGGGTTCAAGGCCTTCAGGCTCTGGGCTAGCTGTCTGCCCATCTCCATCTCCACCCACAGCCACACACTCTGCCTCTGCTAAACTGGTCCCAGGTCCTCAAATGTGCTCTGTGTCTGCATATACTTTGCTCATCTGAAAGTGCTGGCACCTCCTTCCAGAAACTGGCTACAGATCCTTCTGCTCCCATGGCTGCTCCAGGAAGCCCCCAACTCCAGGTGATAAGAAAACACCTCTCCCTCGGGGTCTCTGTCCTTGTACTCTCCCACCATAGCCCCTGGCCAGTGAGGGTGAGGGCTGTGTCTTGTCCATAATGGCCCCTGACCCCCGGCTCCCTGACAAGGGAGGGGTCAGCAGGAGCCATGTGCAGGGTTGAGGAGGCCATGAGAAGCCCCTTTCTGCCTTCAGCCCCTGTGCCCATGCTGGCTGCCCTCACTCACGTAGTCGGTGTAGATAAGTCTGGCATATTTGCAGCGCAGGTCCTCCACGCCGTCGTTCACCATGTCCATCAGAGCTGCCTCCCTCTGGTCCTTCCCATATAGCCCTGGAGTCAGGGGGAGCAGACAGCATGACTGGGCGCCTGATCCACACAGGACCTGACCGCCTTCTCCTCACCCCCACTGCAGGCCACGTGGCTGTCTGTGGGCCACAGCCTGGGAGGAGGGTTGAGCCTGTCACACAGTAGGTGCTCAGGGTTCCGTGAGAGGAGCAGACCGATCTGGGTTGGCCTGGGGCCGGCTGTGGGAGCCCGAGGGTCTTTTCCCCACTCCAGAGGGCCACAAGGCAGCCTGACTTAAACGGGAGGGGCTCTGAGGGGAAATGCCCCACCTTTGTACTGGCCGCCAGGCCTCAGGACTCACCGAGGGAGCGCCCCAGGTGACGCAGCATGGCGTTGGACTGGTACAGGGTCAGATCTCCATCCTGGAACTTCGGGAGCTGCCCATACAGCTGGGGGGAGGCAGGGCGCCATGAGGGGCGGAGCTTGGCTGCCCCCACCCCGTCCCGCCCCCTGCCCCGCAGAGTCACTCACACAGGAGGCCTTGAGGGAGCCCTGCTGCCAAGTCTCCCCGGTCACCACCTCCTCCTTCCAGCTCTGGCCCTGGTCTGCCAGCAGCATGCGCAGGGCCTCACAGCGCCCTGGAGGTGGAGGACAGGGCAGGGGCGTGGGGACGCAGGGAGAGACTCAGTCTCACAGCAACATGGGGAGGGGTAAGGAGTGCAGGCCAGGCACATGGGAACAGAGACTCCACACTGGGGAGGAGACACGGGGAAGGAGACCCGGGCTTGACGCCACATGACGGAGCGCTGGGGGGCTGGGGTCTCCAGTGGGTGGATGAGAGGCCTTGGGCTGCAGCCTTGGACACCTGCCTCCCCTTCCTCCTTGGCCCAGGCTCCTACCTCGGACTGGGAAGTAGACGATGGTGTAGGGCGGCACTGCAGAGGACAGAGAGAGGCTTGTTAGCACCTGGGAAAGGGTGTAGCCGCGGAGGGTGGGACGCCCGCCCTCTCCGCGGTGTCCCCCCTCGCATCTCAGCGCTCCGGACGCTCCCGGCCCCCTGAGCTCCTCTAGCTCGGAGCTGCGGACGTCCAGGGGCCTCCGGGATCCCCGGTCTAGCTCTGGGAATGGGGGACGCGGGCCTGTGGGGACTCACTGGTGCCGCGCGGCGGCGGCGACGCTGGGGCGCAGGCCTAGCAGCCGGAGCCTTATAGGGGCGGGTGGTCCCGCCCCGCTCCGCCCCCCACGCTGAGTCACGTCGCCGGCGCGGCCGCCCGAGGGCAGCTGGGCTAGGGACTCACCGCCGGGACCGCTCCGGGCGCGCAGCTGGGGCTGGGAAGTGGACAGCGACCGGCCGGTGGACGGGGGCGCGGGCACCGGAGCCGCTGCGGCCGGGGAAGAACTCCGCGCCGCGCCGCGTTTAGG